CGGGTAATGCTATGTCCAATTTTCTGAGGAACCGCCAGACTGATTTCCAAAGTGGTTGCACCATTTTGCAGTCCCACCAACAATGGAGGAGTATTCCTCTTGTATTTTCCTAAACAGAATGACAATGGCTCAGGCTCTAAGATCAAGAATTCGTAAATGGAACCTCATGAAAATTAGAAGCTTTTCTAAGGTAAAAGACACATTCAATAAGACAAATTGCCCACCTATAGATTGGAAAAATTAATCATTAACTCCACAAATTATAGGAGGTTAATATCCAAATTATATGAAGTACTCAAGAAGCTAACCTCCAAAAACACCAAACAACTCAATTGAAAAATGAGATAGAGAACTAAACAGAGAAATCACATAAGAGGAATTGTGAATGATTGAGAAGCACTTAAAGAAATTTTGAAAATCCTTAATCATTAGGGAAATAAAAATCAAAATCTCCATAAGATTCCAACTTACACAAATCAGAATGGCTAAGATCAAAAACTCCAGTGACAGCACATATTGGCAAGAATTCTGAGAAAGAGGAACACTCCTCCATTTCTCTTGGGATTGCAAACTCCTACAACCACTCTGGTAATTAATCCAGAGTTTCCTCAGGATTTTGGAAATCGATCTGCCTGAAGACCCAGCTTTACGACTCTTGGACATATACTCCAAAACATCACAAGACTACATGCTCCACTATGTTTTCATAGCAGCCTTATCTGTGATAGCCAAAAGCTGGAAAAAAAAAACCCGATGTCTGAGGAAGGAAGAATGGATACTGAAAATATGGTTCATTTACACAATAAAATACTATTCAGCAATTAAGAACAAGAACATCATGAATTGTGCAGGAAAATGAATGGAATTAGAAAAGTCATCCTGAGTGAGATAACCAATCCCAAAAGTACATGCATGGTATGCACTCACTTATAAGTGGATATTAGCAAAGAAGTACAGAATACCTAGGATACAATCCATAGAACTCAAGAAGTTTAACAAGAAAAAAGGCCAAGTGAAGATGCTTCAATTCCACTTGGGAAGGAGAAGAAAACTAACACAGGAGTCAGAGGGAGGGAGGAAGGAACCCTGGTGGGAGAGGGGACAGGGAGGGGAAAGGGAGGACATGATCAGGTATTGAGGGAAACAGGAGAAAAGTACTGAGTGCCAGCAGAATGATTGGAAATATGCAACCTTGGGCAGTAGGAGGCAGGGGAAATCCTCTAGAATTTACCATAGTACTGGGAATTGAGAGCATCTCAGGACTCAAAGTGAGGAACCTCAGATGAAATGCCCAACATTAGGGAGAGAGTAATTGTAGAGTACACCTCCAGGAAAAGACAGGATAACACATGGAGGGATGGGGTTGCCATCCCACAGTCAAAAAATCTGCCCCGTAATTGTTTGTGTCTAAAATACTCCAGGGACAAAAAATTGAGTAGAGACTGAGGGAAAGGCAGTCCAGGGATGAGCCTAACTTGGATCCATCACAAGGGGAGGCTCCAAGACCTGACACTATTAATTATGTTATGGTATATTTACAGACAGAAGAATAGCGTGGTGATGCTCTGAGAGGCCCAACCACAGCAGCAGACATAGACAGAGGCAGGTACTTACAAACAACCAATAAAATGAAGTCAGGGACTCCTGTGGTTGATTTAGGGTAAGGCTGGAAGAAGCTGAAGAGGAGATACCACAAAGGAAGACCAGCAATGTCAACTAAACCAGACCTCTGATATTTCTCAGACACTAAGCCACGAACCAGACAGCATACATGAGCTGTTTCAAGGCCCCCAACACATGGCAGAGGACTCCTTGGTCCAAACTCAGTGGGAAAAGATACACCAAACCCTAGAGAGAATTGAGTCCCCATGGATTTGACAGGCCTGGGGCCATACTCTTGGACACAGGAAGAAGGAGGAATAGGATAAAAAACTCTTGGAGCACAGAATGGGAGAGGGCAACATATAATATCCAGAGTAAAAGAAAAAAGATAAAGTCCTGCATACACACACACACACACACACACACACACACACACACTTACACAGGAAGAGAGAAGGAGAAAATAAAGTGTAGGAGAATTGTTGAAGTTGAATAGAATACATTTTGCATCTTGAGTTCTTTATGATTCCATGGAAATATGTTGGAAACTACTAAAGTTTAGTATTGATATTTTGAGGAGTCATATTGACTAGAAGTGGAATGTGACAAAGAGTATTTGTCACTTGGTTTGATTGAATTATTCTTCAGGTACAGGAAATATCTTTTACACTGACTTTTTTTTTTTTACTTCTTTCCATTGGCATCATTCATCATGATGTCAATCTGTCTGTACCTGTGATTTTTCAGGTTGTGGGAGCCTTGTTTAAAGAACTGAAGAAGCATACACACACAGTGAATCAGTAAATGATTTATTCAAAATCTAAGTGGAATCCTGGACAGATACACTCAAACAGAGCAGCAGTCTCTGAATTAAATGTACTGAGTAGATAGCTCTAAGAGCTTATGTTTTTAACCCTCAATAAAAAAGGATTCATTAAGGGATTTAATTATATGATTTCCTCTTTTGATGGGCTTTTTCAATATACCTGTCCTTTTCCTATGATATATCTGATTGTAATCATGTGCATGGTAGATCATGCATTACTCTTAGAAATAAATCAAGGTATTCTGTAAAATGTTATTTTAAGACCACAGTTAGTAAAAAAAAAAAAAGACTCCAACAAGCCAAAAAAATTTCAACTCAAAATTTATCCTCTCTACAAGTAATACAGTCATGGGGAAGGGAGATGGACGATCAATAACCACCCCAGCTTCAGTCCCATCCCAGGGGCAAGCACCAAACCCTAGCACTATAATGATACTCTGTTTTGCATGCAGACTGGAGCAAGTTGTCCTCTGAGCAGCTTTGTCCAGCAACTGTTATTTTTGGAATAATTGGCGGAAGGATTGTGGTCCCTAAAGGGCATAGGAAATCCACAGGAAGACCAACAGAGTAAAGTAACCTGAAACTTTGGGCCTACCAGAGATTGAACCACCAACCAAAGAACATAAACAGGCTGGACTTCGGCCTCTGCCCTCAGTGTAGCAAATGTGCAGCTTGGCCTTTATGTGAGTCATAAACAACTAGAATGGTGGCTATCTCAAAAGTTGCAGGCTATATGTGGGATATGTTCTACTAGCTCTACTGCCTTGTCTGGCCTCAGTGGGAGAGGAAGTAGCTGCCCTCCCAGAGACTTGAAGTGCAAATGCAGGGAGGTGGGAAGAATGTGCTGGGGCCTCATCTTGACAGAGAAGAATGTTGATGTTGCTTTTGTTTGTTTTGTTGAGAGTGATATGTATGTAGTTTGGTTAATTTATATGTTGATAAGTGTTTTGTTTGAAAAGGGATGTGTCTGCAGGTCAAATCCAATGTGATCAAAGATTGCTGAGCTATCTCTCTTCATACCTACCCAATTCTGACTCAGTCTTTCACTACAGTGTTCAATCTACAAAATCTTACTTATGATGCGTTGAATGAAAATTTCCTCCAAAGGTTCACACATTTACATGCTTGGTTCACAGTCCTTGGACTATTTGGGAAAATTAGAAGGTGTGGCCTTGCTGGAGGTTTGTCACAGAAGGTAGGTTTGAAGTTTCAAAACCCAAGCCACTCCCAGTTATCTTTCTGCCTTTCTGTGTCTCCTATTGGCAGATGAAGATTTAAGCTGTTAGTTGATCAGGTCACTGCCTGCCTGACTGCTACCATACTTCCCATCATATTAGTCCTGGACTAATCCTCTGGAACTAAGAGCTCCCCAATTAAAATGGTTTCTTTTTTTCTTTTACTTTTTTTTTTTTTGATAAATTGCCTTGGACATGATGTTTTATCACAGCAATAAAAAAATAAGCCATTAATAAATGATAACTAAGGTATGGTCCATAGACTCAGTGAAGTAATGGATAGAGGAAGAAACTTGACTTGGGAATGTTGATCTTCCAGGGAGGGAAAAATAGAATAGATGTTCTGTGTGACTCTTACATTATCTCTATAGCCAGAGGCCCTCCTAAGCTTTAACAGCCAGGTGAATAATAGCACAAAGGACATCCATATCTGTATGACCAGGAACACGTGAAACCCTTCCTTCAGCTCTTAAGAAAGTACAGATTACCTATCTCTAAATCTCATCTTCTTCGAAGAAATGACACGTACTCTGGGATATGTTTCTGAGTAATTACACTTTTTTGTTTAACAGGGATTTTATTACACCAGGAAACTCTTTTCCCAAACTATATTGTATTTAACTCTCCTGGGAATACATTGCTTGAGGTCAGCCTCCCCAAGTCTGATGCAGGTTGAAGAAGTCGAATTAAACTGAGTTTGCTTCCTCACCTCTTGGCAGTGTGCTTACCTGCGTGAACACTGGCAGAATTTCTCTCACTTAAAGGCAGGAAAAGTGGTTATAATTTTCTTGAATTGAAGTTATCAGAGCTAGGAGTCAAGTGAGGGTTTGGACTCAAATCTAGATCCTATGGAAGAAGAGCCAGTGCTATTAATCATTAAACCATCTCTCCAGACTCTGTCTTCTGGATATCAATCCTATAAATCAATAAAAATTTTCTTGGAAAAATACCTCCAACTCTGTGTGTGTGTGTGTGTGTGTGTGTGTATGTGTGTGTGTGTGTGTGTGTATTTGTGTGAGTGTATGTTGACAAACTTGTTAAGTGAATCCTAATTGTCACCATAATGCTGTTAATCAGGAATAGTTTGTTTTTGTTTCTGTTGTGGATTTTTCAATTTTTTTATGAGTTAAGAGAAGCAGTTCCTTGTTTTGATTCTAGGCCTGGGTAAATTGGCAGGGATTTAGGACATGGGAAAGTTTCTCTGATCTCTGTATAAGAATATAACATTGACATTTAAGCCCTAGCAATTAGAAACATTCTCAGCAACTGAGCAGCTGGAGACATCATAAGGGGCAGTTATGGCAGCCTGTGCTCTCACTTCTGTTTCCCTGGGTGGTTTATGTCAAGGCTTCAATCACTGTGGGAGGAGTATCATAATAATGTTGACAGTAATAAGTTGCAACATCTTCAGGCTGCAGGCTGTTGATCTTGAAAGAAAACTGTGTGCCAGATCCACTACCACTGAACCTTGATGGCACACCATCTGCCAAGATGTTTGCAGCATAGATCAGGAGCTGAGGAGATTTCCCTGGTTTCTGCTGATACCATGCTAAATAACTGTAAACGTTTTCACTTGCTTGACATGTGATGGTAACACTTTCTCCCACAGATGCAGATAAGGAGGCTGGAGACTGGGTCATCTGGATGTCACATCTGGCATCTAAAATTGAAAAATTGAAAGCAAATCTCCACATATTTAATTCTCTTGCAAGAGGATTTTCACTGAGACTAAGCAGCACTAACTACACACAGGTGAATAAATTTCCAGTGTTGTCTTCCTTACCTCTAAGCCACAGCAGCAGCAACCCCAGGAGCTGAGTGGGCACACTCATGTCTGTGTGTGATCTGTGTGAGGCTGTCTCCAGCATAGGGTGAGACCTGACTATGAAGAAGCCCTCAGAGCAATTGATTGTGATTTGAGTACATGCAAATTAGCAAGGGTAGGCACACAGGACTCATCAGGTCAATAGCTCATTACTGGGCTGCGGTCATCTCCAATTCAGATTCAGTACAGGTTTATTTGTAGGGAATATGCTTCTCTTTGAAAAACAAATGACAGCAACAGTTTATGAGTTGTACCTTATTTTGACTTCTATCATGCACCATTTAGAAATTCCTTGTTACATTTTCCTCCATGGCAGGGTATTTAAGATATGGTACCATTAGAGACAGAACATAAGTGGTTCCATTGTCCTTCAAAGGTAGATGTAAATGTCATTGAGGCCAGGTAGATTCTTCTGCGATTTTTTTTCTCTCTTTGTGAAACTGAATTTTTTATTGGATATTTTATGTATGTACATTTTAGATGTTATGCCTTCTTGGTTTCCCTTGAATATCTCCCTCTTACATTCCCCCTCCCTCTGCCGCTTATTACATTGTCCCAGTACCTTTCATCCTTTTAAGTTTCACCAAATACACATAACTGTTCTCTTTCAAATTCATGGCTTCTTTTTCATTAATTGTTTTTGTTTGCCCATATACATTTGTACACACACACACACACACACACACACTCTCTTAAATATAACTTGTTGAGTCTATGTGATACTACTGGTATATGTGTTTCCAGGGCTGATCTTTCTGCTCTGTAAAATCAATTGGCATGTTTTTCCCAAGGAAGAAGCACCTGTTCTGCTGCCATCTTTACTTCTCTTTCCCTATATTTTTTCTTTAGATGTAAAGCCTCCTGGGCATTTGCCCATCCTCTTTCTCATGTTCATTGGTGTCTTCCTTATTTAACTCACATTTGAGTAATCATGAGTTTGAGACTTTACAGGTATAGCTTCTGTTTTTACTAGCAGTCTGACGCTCACAGCAAAATTCCTGATCCTCTATCTCTGTAAACCATTCTATTTCCTTTCCTTAATGTTCCCTGAGCCTTGGTTATGGGAGCCTTTTTTATATGTATCCCTTTGGACTGACCTCCACAACTAGCTTTGCAGCTTCTTTCCCACAACGACTTCCAGAGGGGCAATAGAACAATATTAGAAGGTGTGCCTTGTAAGTAAAGACAGGAACTCCCATGTATAACCAATCAATTCATGTAAACAACCTCATTTTACTTATTTGTGACAGTTCAACTACTTAAGAACTATTCGCATCAAAACCAGCCTAGGTCATGGTTTGTTTTTTTTTTTTTTTTTGTTTTTCTCCTATGAGCACACTTCCCAGATTCATATATATATATATATGTCCTCTAATGTGTCTTTGAGGTTTCAGATTATTGCACCTGACTTTATTCTCCTCTTAAAAGAAGTTATTACATGCAATGAATATAAGTGTTCTCTCAGAAATAATTATACATGTTTTTAAAAGAACAATGCATCCCAAACTTACATATGCTATGGCCACCATATCTTTCTAGATATGCAGATGACAAATATCTTAGTCTTAGTTTAGGACAGAGGAGCACAAGCTGTGTGGTAGCAGAAGCATATAAGGAAATAAAGGTAGAAGTTATACATGGGGAATATATCCATAATAAACTCAAGACTTACAGTGAGTTTCCAAGAATTTAACTGGTCAATATTTTACATGTTCAGTCAAGCATTCTATAGGACATAGAGATTTTCCATGGTGAGACTGGTACCCACTCATGGCCTGAAGATGATGATGAACACAAAAGAGGTGTCAGAAAGAATGCACAGATGGATAGGTTAAGCTACTGATTGATATGAAAAATTAATGACCAGCATGACTCTGAACTATATAATCACTGTATTTCCATTCATATATATATCAAAGATGTATTAATGTGCAATAGAGTTAAAAATTTTGCATATATCCTTAAATCTATCCACTACTATGAATATACTTTGTGTACTGACACCATATATCCATGTTTTGATTAAGCAATAAATTCATGCCAATAAAAATAGTCAATCAAAATGTTAACTTACTTCACAGTTCTATAAATGTATAAAATATATAAACAGAACATTTACACACATGATAGTTTTATGAGATGTATTTCTCTACAAACAGGCAGAAGTGATTTCTTAAGTACCAGGTCAACAATGCTGCTGGTTGACAACAGTCTCTGATTACTACACCTTTCCCACACCTGAGGCACTCAAAAAACAAAACTATTTCCTCTCTTATTACATGGAATGTTTGATTTCATCTGCAACACATCTGCTTTATGGATGGATTGACACAGTACCTAGGTTCTTCATTTCATTCATGAAGTTGTGTTTTCAGTACATTCTCCAGTTATTATGGAATACAAGGCATGATAAAATGTATAGAACATGGTGCGTCTCTCACCACTCTAAATCAGTCCTTTTTCACACTCCTCTGGAAACCCATTTTCCCACACATTTCATTGTCTTATAGCAAATAACACATTATCTAACTCCTGGACTTCCGGTTGAACTTCTATAACACCCAAAATTTATTATGCATAGAAATATGTGAAGTGATGAGATTATTCCAAGGAAAAGTACATCACCTATAAGAAGGCTTGCCTAATTTTAATATGGTGGGCCAGTTCCCTGGATTATGGTCTATATATAAATGAATAAAGTGCACTGGAAAGTCAAAGGATAAGGTGCTACTTATATACTGTTGGGAAAGTATCAGCCTTCAGACCCTTCCAACAACACTGACAAGATACTTCAGAGATCTGAAGTTGACATTCATATTGGTTCACTGAAAGTTCCATCATGGTCCTAAATGTAGAAGTGTTGTAAATAAGAGTATCTCATGAAGCTGCAGAGAGTCTCCAAAAGAAGAAAATATAAAACCCAGGAAAAAAAAAAAACGTTTGCACACATTCGTACCATTAGCACTATTTAAGATAGAAACAAAATGGAGAAAAGAGACTTCTCAATAGTTAATGGAATGTTATACCCTGATAATCTT